AGCTTATAAAAAACGTAACGTATGCACAATATTATTTTATGAAATAGGCGTTCCTGCCCGATTAACTGATAGTAAATGTTTGACTGCTTTAATCAAACGAAAGGAGCATCTGAATCTGCTGCTTCCGTGGCTCCGCTGCGCTTTGCACAAAGTTTCAACTGCTATATTTGTTAGTTTTAAAGCTGACTTCACCCTCGGCTGTAGAATTCCCAGGGCGGCCGTTCTTTTTTTCTTTGCGTGGTCGTCGAAGAACTCGACCTCACGAGAAAAAAGTCGAGAAATAAATTTGCAAACACGCAGAGGAAGGGAATAAAAGTTTAGAAACGTGAGCGGGATGCAGATGGTTTGCAGTGGATTTGCATCTGCTGTAAAAACCCTCTTTCCGAGTAAACACATCTGTTCTTCAGTGGATACATTTACTTGTTTTTATTCGTGAGGATGTGACGTCCATGTTGTTGCTAGATGTTCCTCCGACATGAAACTGTCAGAAGTTCATCTCGTTTATCTCTTTGCAGCAGTCATCTGTCCCGTAACCCTGACGGGAAGCTGGTGTGTGAGCCAGATGTTCTGATGTCGGCGAACTGTTTCATAACTACTGAAGGACCTTCGTGGCACCTTTTTTTTTTTTTTGGCGAGATTGCAGCGCCTTCCATTAGGAGCTGCTCTTCCACTCTGGGAGGAAGATGATTGCTGTTCTCGCCCCGACGTGCTGTAGCTTTAGCAGTCACTGCACCCTTAGAACCGGCCTGCATCTCATGCTCGATGGCCACAATTGTCTTTGTTTTATTTGACTAATTTAATTATCTCCGGCTCCAGATTTACAAAGCCCCTAAAGCAGGGGAGGATTACATGTTCTATCTTGAGCTGATGAGATTTTATCTTGCGTGCACAATTTATCACCTTGTCAACACAAGTTACGTTTGGCACGTCTAATTCTCGCGTAAATATTTTCCAGTTGTCGGGACGCAAATTTCGCATGAGAAGGTTTCATGTGACTGAATTGGCTCGACCGTGTTTCCTCTCAGCGACTCAATCAGGAGCCATAAAGTCACCGATGTGTCTTGCATTTCATGAACATTCATTGAAAGCATTCGATTCCTTCAACTCTCATGGGGTTGTTTTCAGTTTAAATATAATTCCCACGCGGCCTCTATTTCAGAGTCTGTGTGCATTTGTGTGGCAGGAAGTAAAAAAATTCATGGTAATTCAGTTTTTGCAAAATAAAGAAGTTAAAATCACCTTCTGGGACTTTGCAGTCTCTCTTTTCTGCAGATTAGGCCACGGACCTGTGATTGATTATTATCCTGATAAAGGTCCCGTCTGGGGAGTGTTGTCCCACCGTACTCGCATAGAGGTTTGCTCTGCTTTGAATTCTCTCTGAAATAAGCGGCGTAGTTAATGCGGATAAACCGTTGTGCATCTGACACCTGGTGTCTTCATCTCTGTTTTTATGCAAAAATAAGTGTGTTTGTGAATTTAATGACTAACGGGAAAGACTTTGGCAATAAAATCCAATTCTGACTTCAGTACAGTGATTATTTCATTCTCCTGATGGCAGAAGACGATGAAATGAGCATTTATTTCAACCCTCTATTTGGGCTCTAAGCGTGCTGTATCTTGACAGCGTGATGAAACACACTCTTCTTTATTCACGGAGTAACGAGCCCGGCGCCGTTCGTAAGTACATAAGATGTTCGTAGCAAACACCAGAGGGGCATGCTGGGTAAACAAGCGGCGGCGCGCGTTCCTCTGGCCCGCCTGCTCTGCTGGACGCGGTGCGGGGACATATGGCGACCATCTGGGCAGGAACCGGGGACGTCCGGACGTCGCGTTAAGCCCCCCCCCCTATTGTGCCCTCCCTCGGG